TCTTCTTATCTCCTTTAGAGCAGCTTAATCAGTGCATTAAGTTGATCATGGATATATGGGTGACTGATACATGTTGCTACTTCAGCATATCATTTGCTTTCTTATTAAATGAAATTGGATCTTGATTAATATATTTGGTTGCTATAGATATCTGTGTCTACAGATAAATTTGTTGTTTCTCCATGGGGTTTTCTTCTGGTTCTGATGAAAGTGCACTGATGGCCAAATTAGACAATACAAATGGGTGCCCGTGAGACTTGGGGGAATCCCATCTCCCTCCCCTTCTCTCATCAAGCCTGGTGCAGCTGGGCTGCCGGTGGGCCTAGCACAACTCCCGGGCTGCTTCACCACTGCTGTAGCCCCCGGACTCTCCAGCAGCAGCTGCCTGACCCGGCGTGGCTCCCAGGCGACTTAGTTGCTGCCACAGCCCCGGAGCTCTCTGGCAGCCACTGCTGGATCCTGTGCAGCTGCTGGGCTCTCCAGTAGCCACCACTGGGCCCAGCACAGCACCCAGGCTGCTTCATTGCTGCTGCAGCCCTCAGGCTCTTCAGCAGCCTCTATCAGGCCCAGCTCCCTGGCTGCTTCATTGCTGTGGCGGCCTCCAGATTTTCTGGCAGCTGCTTCCTAGCGTGGCCCTCAGGCTGACCACCTCTCTGGCCATCCCCGGGCCTGCCACAGCTCCCAGGCTCTATCACACACTATTCTACTTTTCGCCCTGTGTATTTTTTAAACATTTCAGAATTTTTTTCTGCAAACTTGGGGATTTCCGCAAGTTTGCGGAAAAATCAGTTTCATGCCTGTGTGGCTTGGATCTGCAGATGTAGCTATCCGCAGATGGGAGCCACATGTTGCTAACAGGATATAGACTAGTCCCCAAGTCTACCATAGTGCCATGTTAGATCCTATTTTTTAACTTTAAAATGCCACAGGGTCTCAATCCTGCTGGGGAATGAGGAGCCGCTGTCCCCGTGCCCCAGTGCTCTTTTCAGCTGGGCCTCTGAAAATGGCACGTGCAGGGGGGGGTGGGGGAGACAGGAACCCCTCCCTCACTCCTCATGCCACAATCCCCAGTGTTATCAGGCTCCTGCAGCATTTTTAAGAGTAAAAAAATAGGATCTAAATGGCAGACTTGAGAACACTGTAGACTGCATCTTCAAGTTAGGGTTCCCCATAAGAATGTTGGTTCCAAGTGAAAGAACAGAGGTTTTTCTTGCTTAGGGCTCTCCAACTGATCTTCTTGGAGTGAATTAGGAAGGCAAGTGTTGCCTTGCAAGCTGTTTAAGAAAGTAGCAGTTCAGGGACCACTCTGCACCTACTATAATATCAAAATCACTGCTGAGTCTGATTTTCTCAAAACGTAATTTTTATGTGGATCTGAGGTAACTCTGTACTTGATCCTCATGACATTGGTGTGCAGGAGTTCGCTCTGTCTTTTTTGTACTGTTCCCAAATGTGTATCCTCTTGTTAAAGCTTACTAACAATTTTGGTTCAGTATTTGTATCGGGGAATCACCATTAAAAATATGGGTTCATGGTCTTTTTTAAACTCTCCAGTTCAGATACTAACTTTTAAAAGTGGTTTTGGTAAGCATTTCAGATGCTCTGAACTGGTTTTGTACTAGTTTACATGCATTTTGTAAAGAATGTCATCACACTACTTTGCTTCCAATATAACTGTAAAATGAATGCATTAACTATTCAATTTGAAAAGAAATTTTTATTTTTTACTGTTTTGGGGCGGGGGGATGGTTCTGATTTTTTTTGCTTTGTAACACTGTAAGCATCATGTTCCAGTCTACTGCTTAATGCGGAAGTCTCTAGATTTCTTCCTAAAACAACCTCAAGCATTTTTTATTTTGTAAAAAGCTTCAAAAGAAAAATGTATAAACATGGTAAAAATAACTTTAAAAACAGAAAGCCAAAGGAATGAGAGAAAAATATGTTTAGAAAAGGACCAAGGTTCTGTGGTAGAGCATCTGCTTTGCGTACAGAAATTCCCAAGTTCAGTAACTTCCATTAAAAGGATCAGGTAGTAGATGATGCAAAGAACGTATGTATGTCTAAGACACCAGACGGTTGCTGACAGTCGGAGTAGACAGTACTGACCTTGATAGACCAGTGGTCTGATTCAATATAAAGTAGTTTTCTATCATGTCATCTTTTATTTTTAAACAATGTACACAAAGTTATGTTACATCATCCAGAATTGTGAGGTGATTGCTGAGATAACAGAATGAATTTGAGACCAGGAAAGGCTCTATCTACACTTGCTTTGTGTAACAGGCACTGCAAACACTAGTTTTGCTAACTGGTGTAATTCATACTGAAGAATATTTTGATTTTTACTGAGGCAACACTCAGCAACAAAAGATTCTGGGAGAAGACCAATTCCTTTGAGGGCCTTCCTTTTTCTTCCCCCCTCCCTCCCCCTCCCTCTCTCTCTCTCCCTCATTCTTTCTTTCTTTCTTTCTTTTTTATTTTTTGACAAAGTAGTTCTGGTAGCATTGCCTGTTTTGCCTGTTTTGAGGAGTATATCAAGATCATCAACTGAGTGCCTCAATACTGGGCTGAAAAAAGTTACATCTAGTTCATCTCTTAGAATATAAGACTTCAAAAATTCTGGGTTAGCCCATGTTTTCAACTAATGAATTGTAGCTTTTTCTTTAATTCTCGGCTGAAAGCAGTAAGCAGGATCAAAGGGCATCACTGTCCAACAGCATTTTCTCATGGATCCTCACTGAAACTTCTAGTAGAAGATGGAACACAACTTTGGAGTGTCAAATTGATATCTGAGCCAACTTACATGAAAAATCACCTAGTTTAAGTTCTGGCTGCATTGTTTAGTAGGCCTGAATACCTCTGCCCTTTTTCTTTCTAAAATAACAGCAATTAAATGAAGGCCATTAAACTCAGATACTCAAGAAGTGCCCCTGGGCAGATGCTTTCTGCATCCACACACTGGAATCTAAAATTTAAGAAAGGTGAAATTCAAGGTTCTGGGGAAGACTGCCCAAAGTTCAAGGATCTGGGAAAAGAGCAGCTGTTGTTTTCTGGAAGGCAGGCACATGTCTTCTGTGGCCTCGAAAAAAAATAAGATGATTGCATGATAGGTTTGCATTATACCAATCTATGGACTTGGTGGTGTTCCTAACCTGTGCAGTTTGCCAATCATGTATTTTGTTTTGGGTAGGTGCTGTAATTTTACAGTTCAGTTACTTAACTGAGAACATGATAGAAATTTATACTGTGGGAGAAAGTAAATACAGTGAGCAGGGTGATTTGATTTAAAGCAGATTGATTTAAATCATTAGTCAGTAAGACTCGATTCAAATCATGGTTTTCTACATAAAGACTTGTTCTTGCTAGTTGTTATAACCTTCGTATTTACAACCCAGATTAAGGTTTCGTTTTTGGAATAACCTTTCAGATTAGTTTTACAGTTATATCAGAAAATTAGTGATTGGTGAATTACTAATTGAAATAGTTCAGCTCACAGTGATTTCATAATTCTCAATCTCCAGTTTAATAATTCATATTTGGACAACTTTTATGCTGTACTTTATTGGAAGGAGAAAAATAAGCATTAATAACAGGTTTGCAGAGGAACAATAGGATTGACGTCTCTTTCTCAACTGTAGATATTTATTTAAAACATTTAGCTGTTAAGAAGAGGTATGTTATCTCTGTAGACACAAATTCTCAGTTTTGAGAACTGCAAATCCAAGCATCTGTGATGGTATCTTCTAGATAGAAAAATTACCCCAAATCAGGGTTGCCAGGGTGGAGGCAAGCGTCTCCTGCTGCCAGCTCTCAATCCCTGCTACCAGTCAGCTGGCTGGCAGGGGGACTTACACAAGTTTGCATCTAGGTCTAGGAGGACTGGGAGTCCTGGAATAGAGATGGTCCTCCAAAAATGCTGTTCCGTACGGAACATGTTCTTGAACCCTGAACGTAATTATACTGCAAATGTTATTGAGTCATCCTTTTAATAATGAGCATGTGAAGCCCCTTTTATTAAAAAAAACTGTGCAAAATTCAATTCCTTCCATTTCTATAAGAATTCCTGCTTTTGCTGATTTCGAGCCTGAGAAGACTGAGTCTCAGAAAGAAAGCTCTAACATCCTTGAGGGTGGCCTTTGGGGGGGGGGGATTTAGTTCTATTAAGGGTAAAGGCTTCTCTTGCTCGAAAGCCAGTCAAATCTGACTCTAGGGGGCGGTGCTCATCTCCATTTCCAAGCTGAAGAGCCAGTTGGGGCCAGAGATGGGAGCTCACTCCGTCATGTGGCACTCGGGTCTCGAACTGCCAAACTACAGACCTTCTGGTCTGCAGATCAGCGTCTTAATCTCTGAGCCACCACGGCTCTTTTCCTTCATTCTATTACTGTAGTCCTAAAGATTTAAAGACAAGAATTTCATTTTAAATTAGATCGAAAAGTATGGCTGTTTTGTTATTGTTATTTCTGCTCCTTGACATGCAGGCATATATTCTAAGAGTTTTTCCAGTCAGATCTCAAGTAGTAGTTGACTTATGTAGATTTAAATTTCTAATACTGATGGGGGTTTTGTCCCAAAATTTATATGCATCATACAGTTGTTCTGTGCAACATTTTAGGAAAACTGCTAAGAAATACCTGTTTCAGTATTTCTCAATCATGTAAAAAAACCCAAAACCAAAGTCAAGCAGTAGAATATCCAAAACGTTTTCAATAGATCAGGAAGCCATTAGTATCAGTTAGTTGTTGCCACAAGAAAAAATGAAAACTAAATTCATCTTACTGCATTAAGGCATAAATTGTCTGATTTAGTGGTCCTCTCTGGTAAAATGTTTGTGTTTTTTTACATTAGTGACTATGAAAAGTAAACAATATTCTAACCATATTTTTTCTCTTTCTTTATCACCCCTAAATTTTTAGAAAGGCAGCTGCAAACCCAAAATGAAGTGAACATTTCCTTTACGTGCCACATGTGGATAATTGTCCGAGGTGATTTGAAACTGCTCTGCGTGAGTTTGCAAAACTGGTTTCTGCTAAGCTTTAGACAGGATGAGCTAGCAAAGGAACAGTTTCCTGTTCAGCAAAACTAGTGGCAGCTGCCCTGTCTAAGTTGATTATAAGACTGGATGCATGTTTTTGGACGAAATGAAAGAAGTTGTGCTCTGGTCACCCAAGGAGGTGGCAGATTGGCTGTTGGAGAATGCTGTGCCAGAATACTGTGAACCGTTGGAACATTACACCGGGCAGGACCTGATCAGTCTAACAAAGGAGGATTTTGAGAAGCCCCCTTTATCACGTGTATCTTCAGACAATGGCCAGCGCCTGCTGTACATGATAGAAACCTTAAAAATGGAGCACCACATCGAGGCACACAAAAACGGCCATGCCAATGGGCACTTGATTATCAGTACAGAGGCCCCCACCAGTGAAAATGGCTTTAGCGACAAAACCAAACTGAATGGGATGCCAAATGGTTATAGAAAGGACATGATACAGATCCCCATGCCAGAGCCAGAACGTTCTCAGTATCCCTTGGAGTGGACAAAGACTCTTCTGGCTTTCCTTTATGCACTTTGCTGCTTCACCTTTACCACAGTGACAATCTCAGTGGTCCATGAACGAGTGCCTTCCAAGGAGGTGCAGCCACCCCTACCAGATGCTTTTTTTGATCACTTTGACCGGGTGCAGTGGGCCTTTTCTATCTGTGAAATTAATGGCTTGATCCTTGTAGGACTCTGGTTTCTTCAGTGGCTATTCTTAAAATACAAGTAAGTAAAACCTTTGGGAGTGTACCTTCTGATCATCTTTATTTGGTCTTTATCTACTGTGAAATAATTTCATTTTAGTATGTTGATTAAAAAAACAGAATTTGCTTTTGAAAACAACTTTATTTTTATTTTAAAAAAGGCTTGCAGAATACTCAAAGACAGGAGACATGTGTTTAAATATTTCCCAGTGTTCTTAACATTGTCTGGCTTACAAGACCTACAAAACTGAGCTTCTCCACCAGGCCTTTGGCTGAGGTCACGGCCGTCCAATCCATCTCGGCCTCCCTTGCCCACAGAAATACATCTTTGAACTAATTCATCTCAGCTGATCATCAAGTGGGCTGTTAAAATGCCAGTCCCTGTCAAGCAGTGGAGCAGTGGGCTTTGCCTATGAAAATGGCTCTTAATGAAGTATATGTCAAGTACAGGTGTAATGGACATAGTCAGGGCTATTTTTGGGCAGGAACGGGCAGGAACGGAGTTCTGGCTGGCTCCTGAGTTGGCCATGCCCAGCAGGAACTCATTAGCATAACAGGCCACACCCAACAGCAGAAACGCATTAGGATTGGCTACATTAGGGGTGTGTGGCCTAACATGCAAAGGAGTTCCTGCTACAAAAAAAGCCCTGGGTTTGGACAACAAACAAGGTAAAAAGAATAAGAAGCAAAAGGTGGATGTGACTGGATAACCACCACACTTCTGGTAACATGGGGGAGTGGCCTAATATGCTAATGAGCTGTGCTGTCAGGGGTGTGGCCTAATAGGCTAATGAGTTTCTACTGTTGGGTATGGCCTATTATGCTAATGAGTTCCTGCTGGGCTTTTTCTATAAAAAAAGCCCTGGACATAGTGATTATTTAGATGTTATGAAAACTCTTAAAAACCAATATAAAGCCCTGATCCAACAAAAAAAGAAAAGAAAGATGCTATATCATTTAAATGGGAACAACTTAACTTAGCAGCTAGAGATAAGAACCAGTGTTTATTTTGGCAGCTGGTTTCTCATTGTACCATTAAACCATCTTTAGTCTCCAGTAGTTATATGCTCCCAAAAACATGGGAAGGTTACTTCATACAGTTTTATCATAATCAAGAGGCTTTACCAGAAGAAGACATAGATATAGATACCTTATCTCCATGGCCCTCAGTGTCCCTACAAGAAATTAAAAATCTTATTCAGACGTTAAAACCTCGTAAGGCTGCAGGTTCTGATTTAATTCCTGCAGAACTGATTAGGAAGAATATTGATTGGTGGACTCCAGTACTCGCCGCCTTATTCACCACAATTGATAGAACCAAAATAATACCTAGAGACTGGGGGGTGGCAATAATTGTTCCTATTTATAAAAAAGGGAATAGGGAAGATCTAGTTAATTATAGGCCAGTTAGCTTACTGAATATTATCAGTAAGCTTTATTCTAAACATCTACAACGGAGACTAAAGGATTGGTTGGAACAAGTTGGCTTTCTGGCTCAGGAACAAGCAGGATTTAGGGAGGGCAGATCCTGTATGGATCAATGTGTGATTCTTAATAATCTAATAACAAAATACTCCTCAAATGCTATGACATCATTATATGCAGCTTTTATAGATTTTAAAGCAGCTTTTGACTCTATATCAAGAAGATGTCTGTGGGAAAAACTGGAAGCAACAACGATAGATAGACGTCTTCTTTTTCTGATAAGAGCTCTCCATAAGAATACCGCGATAAGAGTATGTTGTAGTTTACAAGGACATCTAACTAATTTGATAAAAACAGAGAAGGGAGTAAAACAAGGATGTGTATTAGCACCTCTTCTTTTTAATATATATATATATAAATGATATGGTAGAATGTTAGAATGTATGGTAACCTAGACTTTCACCCTCCAAAGCTTTTTGATAAACATGTATCGATTTTATGCTATGCTGATGATGCAGTGCTGCTGTCTAGAACACCACTTGGTTTAGGTCTTGACGACAGTATCAAATGCTGCAATCCGTTTAGATGCAGGCATGGTTACAGCGGAAGCAAAGTTTTGGATTAATGTCTTTAATTACTGGTTAAAATGGATTTTTTTGCCTACTGGCCTCATCCAGCTTGTGGTGCAGGATAAGTGCTTACCTTTATGGAGAAAAAAACTAGAAGATAAACTGACCTATTATGGCCTCACAGAACAATTTATACGTTCCTTGTGATATTTACAGGCCAAATCAGTTAGTCTTAGATATGGAACTGCAGATCCAAATGAGTATAATTAAGAATCCTATATTTGATCTATCCACATGTAGTAAGCTAACTTTGGGAACATATGTAAAAACCCTAGATAATGCCAAACACAGAAGATTTTTTACACTCCTAAGATACAATGTTTTGCCCTCTGCCATTTTAGAAGCCAGATATAATAAAACCATGAGAAGGGAATGTGTTTGTGAAAGGGGTGAAGAAACTTTGGAACATGTCTTCTTTGACTGTAGATTATATCAACACAACAGAGATATATTTATAAATCCCATCATCATGGTAGCTAAATTTGGCTGGTTAGCCTATTGTATCAGGAGAGAGGGACCATAAATAACCAGTTAAATTTATTTTTTACCTGATTTTTATTGGAAGTTTAAAATATTTTAATGTTTATAATTTACAGGGGTCATTTTGTAGAAAACGAGGTGCAGTAACTCATTAGCATAACTCATTAGCATAACTTATTTGCATATGCCACACCCCCTGGCATCAGATGGAAGGGAAGGCGGTTTAAACCCCCTCCCCTTCCATTGGTTGCCTGCGCCGTTCATGGCTGCGTGGGGTGCGGGCAAGCCTGCACCTTATATGGAAGGGGAGAGGATTTAAACCCCCTTCCCTTCCATGGCTTACCCGTGCCTGCATGGGGCGCAGGCAAGCTGGCTCTTTAGATGGAAGGGGAGGGGATTTAAACCCACTCCCCTTCCATGGCTTGCCCGCGCCCTGCGCAGCTGCAGGGGGCGCGGGCAAGCCGGCTCTTTAGAGGGGAGGGGATTTAAACCACCTCCGCTTCCATGGCTTGCCCACGCTCCACGTGGTTTCATGGGGCACAGGCAAGGCGGCACCTTAGATGGAAGGGGAGGGGATTTAAACCCCCTTCCCTTCCATGGCTTGCCTGCGCTCCGCGTGGCTGCATAGGTCGCGGACAAGTCGGCACCTTAGATGGAAGGGGAGGGGATTTAAATCTCCTTCCCTTCCATGGCTTGCCTGCGCTCCGTGAGGCTGCATGGGGCACGAGCAAGCCGGCACCTTACATGGAAGGGGAGGGGATTTAAACCCCCTTCCCTTCCATGGCTTGCCTGCGCTCCGTGTGGCTGCATGGGCGTGGGCAAGCCGGCACCTTAGATGGAAGGGGAGGGGATTTAAACCTCCTTCCCTTCCATGGCTTGCCCGTGCCCCTTGTGGCTGCAGGAGGTGCGGGCAAGCAGGTTTGTTAGATGGAAGGGGAGGGGGTTTAAACCTCTTACAAAAGCTTCCAAAGTGCATGTAGTGCCATGCTGCTTATAGGCTTTGTAGAAGCTTGTAGAAAAATCCCCTAATTTAAAGGGGTGGTCTGCCCACATAGCTGCAACAGGAAGCAAATTCAAAGCAACTTCCATAACATGTTCATCTTACTAAAATCAGTTTCAGAGGGCCATGTTGGTTTGCAGTTAAAGAGCTAGATTCGAGTCCGGTAGCCCGTTAGAAACCAAGAAGATCTTCAAGGTATAAGCTTTCAATTGTCAAAGCTCCCTTTGTCAGATTATCATTAAGTCTCAAAGAGTTGGGAAGTTACTTTTAGTGCAGTTAGTGGAAATTGATTTAAACGGAGTTTTAAAATACAGTTAAAATACATAAAAACCTAAAAACATTGGTTAGGAAGGAGAGATCATTGAGGGAATCCCAACTGAAGCAAAAAAGTCTTTACCCACTGCCAGAAGACAGCCGCCAAAAGGAACAGACAAATCTCTCTAGGGAGAGAGTTCCAGAGCCTTGGAACCATGACCAAGGAGGCTGTTTTGTGAGTTGCCACTCTAATCTCAGAAGGTGGACCTCCAAAAATAACCACAGTGGTCGGGCGAGTTCATAAGGGATTAGGCAGTCCTTGAGGTATGTTGGTCCCAAACCATATAGCATTTTGAAGGTCAAGACCAGCACCTTGATTTGTGCTGGAAACAACTTGGAAGCCAGTGTAGATAGGCTAAGACTGGACTGATATGAACCTTATGCCTCCACTCCAGTCAACATCTTGGCTGCAACATTCTGTACCAGTTGGAGTTTCTTCCTTTCATTTATTAGCTTCACTGACCAGAGGTCTTAAGCCAAACGTACGAACAGCTACTATAAAACACATTACATATAATTACAAGATAATTTAGACCAAACATTTTTACAATAAAAACTAAAAAAATACTCATAAACAATATTAATAGACAACATTTTATAGACTTCCATAAACTCTATAAAATCCCATGTTGCTATGGAAATTAGTTTTACAATTTTAAAAATTTGTATACATAAAACTACCTACAGCATTTCAAAGCTGCTTTAAAAATAGCACAATCGATAGATATTTTACCACCGAGCGAGTCGTTTCAGGGTCCTCATCTGCTAGGAGTATGGTTATCACTCAAGGTTCCATAGGGAGGTGATGTCTATGTAAAATAGGAGTAATCCAACAGGATCTGGGGCCAATCCACTGGTGGCAAAATAACAGATGATGATCTAAGCTCTCTATTGCACCTGATCCACAATCGCACAATCTATTTGAATACTGTTTTTTAGCAAAACGGCCACTTAGCTCTGCAGTTGGAAAAACATTCAACCTAGCAAGCATGACAACATATCTAAATCTAGAGGATGTAAGGAAGCTCATATATGAGGGGATTTTCTTAGGTGGCACAATCCCTAAGGCAGAGTTGGAGTGTACTCGCCTAGCACGAAATTTAGTGCTTCTTGATAGTTTATATTGTTAAGCACGATAGGGGCAAGACCAATGGTTGAAATTTCTAAACATTTCTCAAGGGCAGCCCCACATAGAGTGCCTTGCAGTAATCTAATCTAGGTGGTAATGTTGTATTAAACATCAGCAACAAATATTCTAAGATGCCCCTTTTTGTAGCTCAACAACCTCATTCTTAAAGAACATTTTTAAAGTTTAGCTTTGACAACATGGCAATGCTTTATAAAAGAAATGTTGCAGTATAGCCTAAAAATGTTGCTGAATAGCCTGGATACAAAGAAACGTGAGACTTCTTCCATGACCCATGGGAGCTTTGAGTTTTTATCAAACAGCAGCCCCAAATGATTTTCAAACATTGTTTGCACTATGGTATGGGTATGTGGAGAGGAACTAGAGATCAAATTGCCAACATTCGCTGGATTATGAAGAAAGCAAGAGAGTACCAGAAAAAGATCTGCTTCTGCTTCATTGTCTATGCTAAAGCTTTTGATTGTGTGGATCACAACAAACTATGGCAAGTCCTTAAAGAGATGGGAGTACCAGACCACCTCACATGTCTCTTGAGAAACCTGTATAAGGGTCAAGAAGCGACAGTTAGAACCAGATATGGAACAACTGATTGGTTTAGCATAGGAAAAGGAGTACGACAAGGATGTATATTGTCCCCTTGCTTATTTAATTTATATGCAGAGTGCATCATGCAAAATGCCAGTCTGGATGATTCAGAAGTAGAGATGTGAAGTCCCGGAAAAAAACTGGAAACATTCGGGGGGGAAACGTTTTTTTCCCGTTTTTTTTCCTGAAGCCTTTTTGTTTTTTTCCAAAAAAATAGAAAAATTGAAAAAAGAAAAGAAGAAAAATTGATTATGGAACGTTTTATTTCAACATGATGAATAAAATATGTTAAGACAAGGTGTTCAAATATTTTCCAAATCATTTCTAATATATATATATATGGTATCAGACTGATCTAATTTCTGTGCACTGAGGACAAGCAAGTCCTAGGTTACAAACTGAACTCTCCAATGCAAGAACAAGATGCATTTCTTCCTTTAGGAGGTGCGATTGTCAGAAGAAAATAAAAAAGTTTCAGTGTTGTTCTTGCATGTGGGTAGGTATTCTGTTTGTAATAATTGTTTGGATACACTATATTTTTAATATGCTAGTTGTGATAATTTCATGCCAAGTAAAAATGTCCATAGTCATATTTTATGTTCCTAAAGTAACAGAATG